GTTCAGGAAGAAAGGGTCGTTTTGACAACTCTAATCGCGCAGCCATAAGATGTCAAGGGTTGGGGCAATATTTAAAAATTATTGTTTATATTAAAACATCATCTGAATCTAATTTAATCAATTTTATTCTATTTTCTTAATTAATATTTTTAATTGATTATAATTATTTTTGACCACACAATCAATTAAATTTTTTAAAAATACTACTCATCAATATATATATATATATATATATTAAAAAAAATGGTCAGAGGCTATTATACGAGCCCCGACCGTCTCTCATGCACATAAGAATTCGAGTATCACACCCTACACTCGGGGGGAGACTTACAATTGATAAGCATATGCCCAATTTCGAGTCAAAATGAGTCGAACATGAACAAATAAATATTCTTTCGAGTTCGGCTCGTTAACCTTACTCAAAAGCAATATGACAATCATCTCTTCACTAGAAGCCAATATTTTGAGCAGCCTTAAGTATCTTAAAAAATGATACCGAACATGAACAAACAAATATTTTTTCGAGTTCGGCTCGTTAACCTTACTCAAAAACAATATGATAATCATCTCTTCACTAGAAGCCAGTATTTTGAGCAGCCTTAAGTATCTTAAAAAATGATAGATTTTTATCCCCATCAATAAATAATTTTAAATGTTAGATACTATTCCTTTTTAATATGGCAAAAAGAACTAGCCATTAAATGCGAAGATAACCCCGCCGCAGCCCGGAAGCTCTATGATGACTTCGAATTTGGCATGTTAGCCAAGTCCTTTTGGCAAATAGCACTATCATCCATACCATTCGAGTTGGCCAGCATGGCGTAAAAGGAGGGAGAGCGAGAGCAAGGCGGGAGTCTGCTCCCCATTTCTCCCGTTCTTTTCGGCTCACCTCAATTCCATCAAAAACCAAACAACACCACCCCCGACATTCTCTCTGATACCGAGATCCAATCTCCTCCCCATACATCGCCTCTTCACGCTCTTCCAACTTTGATTTGGATGCGGAGGCGCTCATCCTCTCATTGTGCCCATCGGGCACCGAACGATATTCTTCAGTTAATCTATTGACGTACCCTTTCGGAGTTGTTGCCGCTGATCTGGCCGACGAGATGGGTCTAATCGAGAATGTTGGCAATGCGCCGGAGGCCGCACATTTGTTCGTTGCAATTTTTTTTGCCCTGGGTTTCGTTCCGGCTAGATTTTTGCTCAATTCTCTCGTTTATAAGGTAATGGCTTCCTTAAAAGCTAAATGCTCGCTTTTTTGTTTGCTTAGGGCTCATCTGGTTTCTTTAAATGTTAAAGAATTGTAGTTTTGTTGGCGTGAAGATCGAAATCATATCACTTTTTAAGTATTTTTGAGAAAAGGTTATGAAGTTTGAAATTAATATTGGCAGTCTGATTATATATAACGAAATGTGTGTTTACATGATTAATAAATTCTAATAACTAACTTTTGGTGCTAATTATATCTTTGAAAACTTCGACAATTGTATTATTTCCTATTTTGGATCTTATTAGCTAATCATTAGATGTAAATATAAACTGGACATTAAAGCTTTATTGTTAGCTAGTATTATTGAGCTGTGGAGCTAGTCATGACTCATGAGTTGTTGCTAGTGTCATGAATTATTGTTTGCTAGTTACAGCTTAAACATTTCTACAATCTTTTGTTTAAATAGAACCAATCCAATAAAAATGATATAAATATAGTTTCTTATTGGGAAATTTACATACACAACACACAATTTTATGTATTTGCATATCTCACACCCAAACTTTCATATTTGCATACACACTAACACAGCACTTCGGTGCTTTAAACCTATGCATGAAAATTTGATAATAGTGCTATTTGTTATGTGATATTAAAAAATTGAATGCTATGTGTGTAAATATGAAAGTTCTGGTGTGAGATATGTAAGTACATAATACTTGTGTTATGCATGTAAATGCCCCTTTCTTATTTTATGTAGCATTAAAGACATCCTTCAAATTTTTTTTTCCAAGGTTCCTCACTCTGGTTCTCAAACTCTTCTCTCCCAAATTCTTTATTGTTATTTCCACTTACATAATATCGCTTAATAGCTTTATTGTTTCGATCTCTAAATATTCAACCTTTTGGGTTCATAACTACTCCATAATTCTGAAGTCAAATTGATGATTGCTTGTTGCCTTCTATGACTTTGCTCACCCTATCTCTTAGATCAAGCAATTGACCTTGTGCAACTGTCGGTCACTTCAGAGTCATTTTTAGCCGTCCTAAAACTTTACTATTTATCTTGCTTCACAATGATTATTTAAAATTGTCCAATTTAAGATTCTCCTTGAGGCCTATCTCAGCCTGCGACATGTGTAGTATCTTGAGGCTTATGTCTCATCGTTTGTTTGAGGCGCACAATCATGAGGTGCACCTTGTTGCACATGCATGCTTTTGTTTCATCATTTGCATGAGAATTTTGATTGATGATACACATTCCTCAGTCATTAATGATGACCTTCAAAAGATGAATGGTTTGTAAATGATGCAAATGAAATTTTATAGCATAATTACGAATGAAAAATCTTAATGTCACTTTTTTACGAAGGAACAGGAACAACAAGAATCTACGAAAAGGTAATTTGGAGTTCCTATCAAAACTCAAACCGTTACATCAAAAGTAGCTCCGATGTTTAAGAGTTCAACTTCATTCTATTTAAGGGGTTTCACGTCTCTCCCACCTAATTAATTGACATCATCGTCAGTGCTCTCTAGAAATTCAAATGGTAACTTCCACCATGTAGCACTTTATCCCATATTGGGTAGCATTTTATTTTTACTGACACTTAGTTCCCATCTTGAGGTTGGTGTAATGCTTTGATGTCATTTGTAACAATCCGAACTCTAATCCATCTAGATATTGTCTTCTTTGGTCTATTGGCCTCACGATTCTCTCTCTGGTGCAAATTCCTAGTAGGTCACCTATCCTATACGAGCACACTTAACTTTGGAGTTTTAGTCAAAACTCCCATCGTTACACCGAAAGATGCCTTGATGTTCAGCTTTATTCTACTTAAGGGGTTTCACACCAACAATGTGGGCTGAGACATGTTTGCTTCTTCTACCAATCAAAATAAAAGTTGTCAGCCATTCTTCAACTCCAACCACCACTTCAATAAATAACCACCACAATTTTGAGGTGATCATTCTCTTTTACGTCCATATCTTGGTTATTGTTAAGTAAATGGTATACAAGAGCTTTTTGCTACGTGATAGTTGGTTTTTTGCTTTGTTCCAGTTCAACAAGCGAGTCAACCTCATATTTCACTCCTTGGATCCACTGCTTTTTGTCAATCTCGGGCCCACTTTACCACCAAAAGTGTCTCCATTACTCACAGTTTCTTAACAATTTCTCTGTAGATTCCTCCTACATTGGCTTCAATAGTGTTTTGATCAAAGATGGAACGGCCTTGCCATTATTCACAATTGCTTCATCATTCTTACTACTACTAATAACATTGCTCTTAATAATGCTCTGTGTATTAAGTATGGAACATAATTTCGATTCATGTTCTTTATTTTGCTTAACCAAGGATGCTTTAGTTAAACTCTCACAAGCTTCTTTTCTTGTGAATGACATTTTTTATGGAGAATTGGTTTTTTTCTTGGTGAAGAGATTGAAGTAAAACATATTTGAGTATGCCATTTTTCCTTAAAGCTTTTTACCATCTTTCCACCCTTTTGAAATAAGTTGGAGGGCTGCTCCGGCCTGTTCGCAAAAATTATTGCAAGAATATTAATGATTACTTGCAATGAGCAGGATATTTCCATGGATGTAGCCTTCTAGCGGGAACTCCAATCATTGCCGGCAGCAAAGGGCGGCCGGTCTCTCTCCCCCAACTCTTTGTACGTGGGAGGCATGTAGGCCTACTGCAAAGGTTCGACAACTCCAGAACAGTTTCTCTGTTTGGAGTTACAGTGCATTAACAAAGTGTTGAATTGAGTAGTTAGATAGATCTTGGGTGCGATTTTTGTAAAAATCTCTATTTATTAATGTTTTTTCTCCAATTCTTGCTTTCTCTAGTGTTAAGACTATTAAAATGACATCACAGATTAGGTCATGAAGCTTTTTTTATTCTTAAACACATTGTCTCCAATTACAAACTAGACCTTTCATCCTCAATGCCATATGATTTTCTTTGTAATACCTGTCATTGTGATGAAAGCATAACTTGCAATTATGTATTTGCTCAATTTTCTCTTATAAACCTCTTGAACTCTTATATTTTGATGTATGAATTTCTCATATTCAATCCCATTATGTATTTAAGAATTATATTATCTTTTTTTACCACTTCATTAAATAAGTTTAGCTTTATCCTCACACATACAAATCTAAAAAATATGTAATCATCATCGATCTCAAGGCCATAGTGGAAATTTTCTTAAAAGCAAAATCATTACACTTTATTTTTATAATGGTAATGAGTACCCTATTCTTGCACAATACCTCTCTACATATGGCATATCTAATCTCACCACACCAACTCATACACCAAAACATAATGTTTAGTTACAAAGATGGGATCACATATTGTTGAAATTGGTCTCACTTGTCTCTCTCATGTTTCTCTTTCTTAACTTTTTATTCCCATGACTTCTCCACTACGATTTATCTTATTAATTTTATGTCCATGTCCACTTTAAATATTTCCTTTTCTTACAAAAAGCTTTTTTCACACCTCTATCAATTATACAAAACTTAAAGTTTTTAGATGCCTAAGTTTTTTCTAGCTTCAACCATATTCCCCGCATAAACTTGGTGCTCATTCCTTTTTCTCATGTCTTTTTTGGATAATCATTTAGAGCATATCTATGTCTTGACCCCTCCACTTCTAGAATCTTTTTCTCCCATTATGTGAAGTTGCTCAAGTATGTGTTTTCATTTTCCATCATTACTCGTCACTTGCACCATCCGTAACCCTCTGTCGTCTCTGAATGTTTTCCACCAGTCGTCATTATTTTGTCTAACAATATGCTGAAATTGTTGCTCACAACACCATCCATCCTTCAACCTTTTCCTCCGCCATCATGCGGCCTCTCCACCTCTCTCTAATCTACCATTACTAGTCCTAAACAACACCAGAACCCTACCCAGAACTCAATATTATTAGTTATTACAAACCTTCAGTGCCTACATTCTCCTCCATTGCCATCCAACTGCTCAGTACTTATAAAAGGATTATTGATGCCAAAAATGATATCCGCAAACCATTCTAGAAATTAATCTGTCTGTCAAAATCTCTAATCTTAACTTTGAACCAACCACTATAGTCGAAGCTCTTGTCGATCCTAAACGTTTGATGAATATGGCACTCTTGCTCGGAATGTGTTTTGGCAGTTGGTTCTATCCAAACCAACTCAAATTATTCTTAGTTACGAATGAAAATTTCAAACTAAATATACCTTTATTTATTTTAGGCAATTTCATGGTTTTCCTTCTTGCCAAATGGCTTCCACCAATGATCATCTATTTACAACAATGACATTCGATTTGTCAAACCCACCATCATACCCCTTGCTCTCAACATTGTTGTAATCGTGGGCTGGTCTTTATGACAATTAGATGTTTAGAATGCCTTCCTACAATGATATCTCTCTATAGATGTTAATATGGCCCAACCACCTGATTTTGTAAATTACGCCTGTCTGTCCTTTTCATGTTCTCAAGTTTCACGAAGCTATATTTAGCATCACATATACCCCACATATTTGGTATTATGAACTTCGTTAGTGCTTATTTATTTCTTAATTTAGGAACTACCATGCTGACGTGCCACTATTATTCTTCAACTTTGCTAGCCAATATATCTATTTTCTTGTGTATATTGACAACCTTATCATCATTGATGATAGTAACAAATTTGCTGTAGGATTTGTCAGTCTTCTTGCTCAATAATTCTCTCTTAAAGACTTCCATCTTCACCACGTTTTATCTTCTGTCTCAATGATGGTGCATCATGAATCTCTTGCTTGAAGTAAAATGTCAAACTCTAAATTGGTCCTCATGCCAATTGATACCAATCCTACCCTAGCACTCCACTTTTGATTTGATCTTACAGATCCGACCAACTAGAGGAATCATTGACTGCTTACAATACTTGTCTTTTGCATGCCCCGGTATCAACTAACTATTATAGTTCATCCACCATCCACTGATCATTAAGCTGCTAAAAAATGTCTTCTTAGCTATCATTCTTTCACATTGTGATTTTCCATTAACTTCACACACTTTCTTGAATGCTGACTTGATTGGTTAAAGATAAATATCTCCACTAGAGCATAGTTCATATATTTGGGTCACAATCTCATCTCAAGGTGCTCGAAGAGGCAACACTCAATTCTCGAATGTCAGTAGAGGCAGGGACATATCTATCACCACTATTGTTGATAAACTAAATGGGGCTTGCTCTTATCTTTATTGAGTTTGGAATTCACATTCCACAGTATCTAATCATCCACTGTGATAATACTGGAGCCACTCACTTTTTCTTTAAGCCACTGTTTCACTCTTGCATGAAACTTGTTGCCATTGACTTGTACTTCATTTGTGACTTGATCCAAAATGTTGCACTCCAAGTTGCTCATATTTGATCTATAGGATTAAATAACAAATGTTCTTACAAAATCTCACGTAGAAAGATAGTTTCTATCGCTCAAAAAACAAGATTTTATTTTCGCATCGGTGTTTCATCTTGTGGGCGCATAATAGAGATTATGGGACAAATAGACCATTGCATGATTTTCTACTTTGCAAATTAGGAGCTGCTTATTAGGTTTAAATGTTAGTTGGTCCTTAAGAATGTAAATTGCTACCTAGCCATGAGGGTTTGCGAGCCAGTGGTGAGTTGTTGCTACTTAGTGATGGTTGTTTCTAGCTATTCATTACTTGTTGCTAGATAGTCTGAAGTTGTAAATCGCTGCGGTTTTTTTCAAAAAATAGGATCAATCCCTGTGCAAATAAGTCAAAATACATAAGCATATTTTCTCATTTCTTTCATTTCCATAGTTTCTGTTTAAAATCCTTGCATAAGTGGAGGGAGAACTGGAGATAACTTTATGATGAGTTAAAGAGATCATCTGAGTATATGTTTTTTAACTTTATTTAAAGAATACCTCATTAGTAAAATGTTCTTGCTATCTCTCAAAATTACAGGCTTCTTTTCTGAACCAGCAGAAAAAGTAGTATTTTTTATTAAAAGGAATATTATAATTTATCGGGGCAACAAATGCTTCTGATTTGAATTAAAAAATGAAAAATATGATTTCTAGAATTTGGCATTTTTGATTCACCAGACTTGTACTCTGTGCGGTTCAATTAACCTTTATCCTTGTAATTGTACTTGAAACATATGACTGAAGATGTTATCTGCCTTACTGTGTTTGTTTTTGCTCTCGGTTTTCTTTGAGCTTTTTGTGGACTACAGATTAGCTGTGAACTTTAAAAAAATTAATGCATTAAGACTAATTAATTCTTCTGAGAATTGGAGTATAATGATAGCAGATTCTCTTTATTTCTCCTTTTCAATCTCATTGCAATTTCAATTATTCATGAAAATAATTAAGGGTTTGCTACTTTGAATGATTTAGCAACAACTGAAAGAAATGGCACATATTGTAGTTCATCTATCACCGTCTGGATTCATTTTGTAATGTGTTGTTACTTGTTGTGCTGTTTATTTTAATATGTTGTTCTTCTTACAATTATGTAAAATTCAGTTCGCAAGTTTGTTGTTTGTGATTGTGAAGCCATGGAGGTATGTATGTACCGTACAACTTTTGTTACATGTTCTGGCATAAATCAAAATCATGTCATATAACAGCTTTTTGAGTCAAAGCAGTTCAGAAAACCAAACAATTCAATCAAACTCTAGGATGTGGGAAAATAAAATCAAAGTTGAATATTCATAAGAAAGAACCCAACTACGCCTTCAAACTAGGGTGATGTCATTCTGTGGCAATAACCCAATGATTTATCTCTTCCTCTAGGACAATTTTACTTACGCATCTTGGAGCAATTGCATGATTTATAACATTTTATCATTTGATGCTTATGTAATCTCTGTGTTCTATATGCTGATCTCAATATAGGTAATTATTATCTTTTTTCTCTAAGCTTGTACTTTTATTTGCAGAGGCTGGCAATCAGAATGTTGTACGGTCCTGCTGTTTCATTGATGGCAGATGTGACTAGAAAGGCAAAGTTTATCAAGTGCACAGAGTCTATGTGGAAGTTGACATACTATGCTTGTGTGCAGATGTGGGTAATTTCAATCCTTAAACAAACACCTTGGGCCATGAATACGAAGGAGTATTTTAGAGGGTGGCCGAACCAGGACTTGGGGTATGATCAGTTACCTTTATTCTATATTTCTAAGACAATCATGGCATTTTCTTATCCAGAGTTCCAACCTGAGATTCTTCTTCTTTCCTTGTTTTCGACAGGTTGCCAATGAAGCTGTTCTATATGTGCCAGTGTGGGTTTTATCTTTACAGTATTGGTGCTCTTCTGGCTTGGGAAACCCGAAGAAAAGATTTCTCTATTATGTTCTCCCATCACATAATCACTTCAGTTTTAATTGGATATTCCTACTTGACGAGGCAAGCATTTCTGACGTTGTGTTATTATGTTGTTTGCATGTTTCATTATCATGTCTAGGCGTACAGCTATTAAGATTAGGGTTCTTCCATCTGCAAAGTAATTCCTAATCCTGAGACGGCTAAACTTAATTGCATGTTTTAGTTGTGTGATCTTATATTTTCTGTAGATATGTAACGTTTTAACATATCAATTACTGCAGAAGCTAGGCCAACAACAAGAATCAGTGATTTAGGCGTCTTAGGATATAAAGTTTTGATGAAGATCTATTATGAGCAGTAGGAAATCATGACACATACAATGTGCTGATCACAAACTACTATTCTTAAGCAATTTTCACTTCCTTGGATGAAAATCAAATGTACATAGCAAACTAAATCAGACAAAATGACCAATGACCCTAGGGATCAAGAAATCCATGCAAACATTTTGAAATCAGTATCGTATCAAATCTAACCAAACACGCTTGCTTTTTTTAGTCAATACAAAAACATAGAAGAAGAAAGAACAAGAGGGAGAAAAAGTGAATGATTTCAGAAGAAAGAAAGACTTTTGCTTGTACAAGGAAATGAACCATCTCAAAATTCTTCAAAACTCCTAGCTGGCTGAAAAATTTAATCCCGAAAGCACAAGGAATTGCACATCCAAAAAAAAAAAAAACCAACCACCAAATTGAGCTTTTGTGCATATAATTGCCTCTATTGTAATCGCAAAGCCAATTATGATATTCCCTTTTTAGTCACAGATGGCAGAAAGGAAAACCAATGATTTGCAAATGTTTTGCAGAACTTAAATTTCATGAAAAAATAAAGGATTCTGTGCTCGAGCAAGCTGTAGATTGCAAAGAAGAAAAGCCATTGGGCTTGTATGGGAAACGCTAACAGAGCGAATCATTGGAACTACATATGATAAAGCCACATTAAGCTAAGAGCTTGAGTCGTACAAGAGACACATACCAGAAGAATACCACAAGAAATTATTTTGAGACTGAAGTATGGAAAATCTTCTTGGCAACAGTAAGATTGAAGTCCAAGTACAAATTAAATTGGATCTGAGCATAGATTAAACTCTTATGATAGGGTAATAGCGGATAGCCTAGGATGCATATACTGACTTTAGTACAACTTCAATACTACAGGAAATTAGAAGTTAATTTTTAGTTGTTTATCATAATATATATATTTTACATTTTTGACAATTAAAGACTTCAAAATTTGCATAATTTTTTCCTGGTTTTAAAAAACTCCACTCCAACAAATAATATAGGTGATGTTGGGACTTGATTTCATCTTCTACCATAGTTTATGGCACAAGTTAGTATAATTGTTTGAAATTATGTAAATGATGTGTTGCAGTTGAAGTTTGAAAAAGTTTTTTATAAGAAAAATTCAAAACTTTAGTTGAAATTTCATGACCAACTTAATTTACATGCATTAAAAAGTAAACTAATACTGGTATTGTTTTGATATTTTCAACTTTGAAGCATTCGCCTCATTATTTTATATGATTTTATGTGATCCCATTGTTTGGAAGTTAGTTTTTTAAGGATTTCTATAAGAAACTTGATGAGCCCTTAACTTATTGCTTGTTTTTTTATATATTTAATATTTACATCTGTAATAGTTTTTTAATTGTCATAATTAACATTAGGTTTCCTGCAAGTATTCTCATACAATCATTGATGTGCTGTGCGATAATTGTGAAAAGTCACCCAATGTAAACAGAAGGATTAATTAAATCTACATGTGGTAAACTTGAAATCCCATAAGTATTTCAAATGAATTAGTGCTTGCAAATTTATTCATATGCAATATCAAATTCCAATTTGATGTATGCTCCCATATCAATCATTGATACAGAGCATCCATACTCTGTTAATTCTTTTAGTTTGTTTACCAACTGATTGCTGTCAATCAATCAGAAATTTTTATTAAGTTCCCAAATCCTTTAATAGAGATCTACGAAAATAGCTCAAACATTTGTTGACCTCCATACAAATGCCATGGATGCGATATTATAATGGGCAAACCCAATTTATAATCCCAAGTGGGTGGTCTATGACGATGCCCCTATGAGCAACAATGAACTAATATATTATTTCCATATCAATGTTATCAATGTTATCATGTTACGTGAAGACATGCGAGGTATATATATATATGATTTTAAAAATTTATGCTCGTCTCTTTTGAGAAGGATTAGTTCTGGGTCAAATTTTTTGAAGGTAAACTGCATTTTAACTAAGATACTACCCAAAGAATTTGCCTTTCTTTTGTAAGGATTTTATGATTTGATTATAGGTTTCTCATAAGTGCAAGTCTCAGTAGTAAATTATTTTCTTAGATGATTAGAGATTATTTTAGATTAAGACTAGCTAGTAGACATTGTGTTTAGTTTATAGTAGCAATATCTATGTTTTTAGATTGAGAAAAGTTGAATTAAAATTTTTGGTTTTAAGCAAATGGCACAGGAAATGATGTAGATCGATCATGATTTCATAGTTGGATTGCTTTGAAGTTATAGTGGGCATTAGTCTACTTAATAAGAGGACCTTGTCGACTTTACTTAACTAAAGGTTTCTTGTCAATAACAATGGTTTACATCGTCCAAAAGGACATTTTAGACTTAGAATGAATGTTTGCTTGAACATTATTTTAAGTTGATATTAGCTAATTGGGAAGTTTGCCATATCAAGTGCACTCTATAATTCATCACTTAGGAGGTTTTGGCCATTGAAAAATTTGTTGTTTTAGTTGTTATGTAATTTAACAGTGTCATTTTATGGCAAACCACCCAGTCTGAGGGTCTTTATCATAGCCATATCTTTTGTGGTGTCTCTTAGCAAACAAACCACTTAGTTAAAGGTCACATACCATATCTTTACTAAAGAAATCAATGAGAGTGATCTTAGAGAAAAACTGATTTGATATTAGCTTTTTATGTAAACTTAGATTTGTCATTCTTAATAAATTGTTATGAAGGGTGAATAAATTATTGCTTTAAGTTTTGGAGTGCTAAATTTTTCTTGATTGTATTTTTGTGATTTTATAATTTTCTTGATTTTTTTTTTTGTATTTCATGAAAATTTAAGCTTGAAATGATTTTGTTGGGGTTTGGGGGTATTTTGATGATATAGTTTCTTTTTGGTTGAGATTTGTTATCAACTCGACTATCATTGAGGTGCATTAATAATTATATTTTGAAATCGGAAGCTTTATTTTGAAAGAACAACCCCCTGTTATGATATTCAATGGACCATGCCTATTATAGTGGTATTTTATTAGATTTTCTTAGTTTGAATTTTATTCATTCTACCAATTGGTTTTCAAAGGATTGGGTTTACGGGTTTGCATTACTTAAGTTTACTTAAACATCCATTGTGTTACACATATTGTCGACTTTACCTTGAACAATAGGATTGAATCTAAGAGGCTAAAACTTGTGATCATGCAATATAGGCACAACTTGAGTTTGCATTTTAAAAATGAAGTTTCGTTATAAAAGGCCTTGGAAAACTGTATGTAAAAAAAATATAATATTTCTTAGAGGATTTCTTGGTTGGGTATTTAATAAAGTTCATGATAACGAGTCTATTGTATTAGACCGTGGGAGGAAAATTCAAAATTATTGTTTGAGGCAAATCTTATCAACTGCAGTCTTTATAACACTGATAATTAGAATTGTTAAGTGAGACTTATAATCTTACTATATAGCTAGATGACCCACTTGAGAGTGTGCATTTAACAAATTATGTTTTAGGTTTGAGTTTGAGAAAGAGTTTGCCAAGTTCAATGTATTAGACATTTTTTAAAGCGAGTGCATGTCTCTTGAGGCAAGGTAGATATATATTTGTCTCATTTTTAACTTGCGTAGCATTTTTTGGCTTCAAATTTGAGCATCTAGCACATTTGTTGGATAAAATTATTTTTCAGTGATTTGATGCTATGCATGCATTCTTGAAAAGTTTCATGGCCCATGATAGGAAGCACATATCACTTGTTTTTATTTGAAAAAAAATCTCATTCACATGAATGAGCAACCGTTTGAGAAGTATAGGGCTTTGCTGTGCTTGTCATTCATGTGAACTCACAGTCATTGAATTATGCTTGTGACTTTACATTTTTAGTTCATTTTTGGTTGCATTTTATTTGCTTATGTTTATTGGTTTGTAGATCCAATTATGAATATCGCAAGTTGGAATCCATTAAGGTTTTTGAAAGTGGCATAATTTGTCTGTATATGGATTGTATTTCAGGGCCTTGTAAAGAATCATTCTTCCATCTATAACTAGAACCAACTTTAGTTCATGTTCATTTTATATTCAATTCATCGAGTTTATTCTTGAGGGCTCTAAGTATTCAAGAGATTCTTTAGTGCAATTAGGAAGTTATATGCTTATAAGCAAGCCTTCGAGTTCATTATAGGTCCCTTGTAAGTCTATTTCAAGTTCTAATTTTATGGTTTGTTCTAGTTCTCTTCAATTATTTCGATATGTGCCACTTGGAGCATACATTTAATGTCATTTGTAGTTTTTTATAATTTTTATAGTTTTTTTTTTTATTTTAGTCATGTTATTCGGTCTAGATAATTATTTAAATTCGTTCTCAAGTTTGATTATTGGAAAATTTGAAAGAATCATAATTTCTTTCCAATGTAGGGGGTGGGGCATCTATGGGTAGCCTTGATCGGTCTACCACATTAAAAATGTTGTGCATGGGTGGTGTTTAAGAAACCACAATCTGATCTTCTACCCACCACAACAAGAAAGACACTTAATGGGCCTTTTTACCTCATGAAAGCTTTGCATATAAAATTTCTCTGTCGTGTTAGGAAAAACTTACAATTTTTTTATTTTTTTGGTGGCTGGAGTCTTCTCCCAATGCACCAAAAAAAGTGCATTTATGTTTTCTCCTCATTACTCTAAGAAAGGTGTGTGTGAGTTTTCACTTGCACGAGAAAATTATGCTAGAATAACTTAATTTTTCCATAGTGTTGAGAAAGT